CTCGACCCCCGCCCAGCGATCCAGAGAACTGGCACGAAGGCATCACCGAAGATGGTCGACGCGGAACTGGAGGTGTCGGAGGTGTTATCCAAATGGTGGATATCTCAAGCGAATTGGAGCTCCCTTGAGTTCTTCAACTTGGAACATTGGCTGATAGCCTGATAGTCCGTCATCCAGTGACGTTCTCTTCTGGCATTCATGCAGCTCATGGCGGGGTCAACAGCCCGGAGCCCTGGATCAAATGCTGAAATGCCGTGATCGTGGTTTCAGCTTTGATGTACCCCTCGGCCATCTTCCCCAACACAACGACTGCACAGATGGCAGGCATAAGACCGCCTTACGAGTATACGGTGGCCGGCGCGGCCTCCCGTATCTCCTCGGCGGTGCGTTTCGCCTCAACCTTCGTCTCTTCTCCTGGACGAGGCGAAGAGCAGAAGAGCCGAGGGAACCGAACACACAGAGCTGGAGGGTCTTTTCTCCCAAAGTTGGAGGGATTCCCTCAGGCCCCCAAATCCGAGCGCATTGCGAGTCTTCTGGTCGTGGCGATATGTTTGGACTGCATCGTGGGGTGTTCAGACGGGTATTGTTGGACATGATCCTGTGTGTTTGATGGTTCTGACTACGAATGACACCACAAGCTGCGTACGCCCATATCGCCATTCTCGTACGCCTGATGGACCCATGAACCGCCACTCATCACCGAACCACGACACAGTCTACAAGCCGTTGCCGCCCTTCACCCAACATCTCCCAGCAAAGTCTTCAAGAACTTCGTTACAAAAGCCCACTCTTGGGGTCTCAAGGTCCATTGCACTCAGCATCCGCACCGGCCATGGCCGCTTTCGCCGCCGAGTTCGCCCGGGCAGCTTTCTCGACCTTCGACCGTCTCCGGCGACCGACGGGTCCGAGCGCGGCGCGCGTGGCGGGTGGCGTTCGGCGTCTTCTTTTCAAGTCTTCTCCTCTTTGCGCTTGCGCCAGGTGCAGGTCCCCAGCGCAGCCAGCAGTACTGCCCAGCAGCTTAGGGTGGGGTGCTCCGTGGAGGAGAGATGGCGCGTGAGCCAAGTGCTCATCGAGAAGAAACCTGCTGTCGCCTGAGTTCTGTCAGCTTGGTGATTTGAGTGGGTGTTGAGAAGGGTTAAGATTCTTGCAATTGGGGGTTCGGGGGCTATGTTGAACAGCGAGGAAATGTGTTCTTTCATCTTCTAGTTTTGGTGATGCCCTCCACGCACGGTTGTCTCATCTAAGCTGCCCCTAGGAGCGCCAGGTAGGCCAGTGGCGCCCAAACCATGGTAGGGTCCAGGAAGAAATACACGTAGATGCGCAGGCGCAAATATAGAAACCACGCAAAGGTGATGTAGCCTGCAGCAGAATCGAAAGCTTTGCTCAAGATGTACATCATGCGCCTATAGGTCTACACAAAGTAAATGTTGAAGAGTCAGAACTCAGAGTTCGCAGTTCTTTGGTGAAGTCGAAACGTGTTCTTTTCCAGCTGTCAGCTGCTGGCCCTCCAGTCACCCCCCTTGCTGCTTGGTGGCAAAGGCCGAAGAGGATCATCAGTGGAAAGAGCTCGGGTACCATGGGTGGTCTGGAGATGATCAACTCCAGTGCACAAAAGAGCACATATCCTGAAGGTACGGTGGTTTTTCTCGATTCCAACAGGGGCAGTGAGGAACGAACAGAAGCGGCCTTCTTTTTTTTTCGCAGTCGATCGAAGTCCCTGACGGCGAAAAGCTCTTTCTCAGGTTGTGAGGCGTCGCCTAAAGCTCAACTCCTTGTGTTCTGTTGGCGTTCGGAGGCAGCTTTGAATGTCACGAGTCGCAACAAAGCCTGTATGTCAAGGACCACTGTTGTACAAGTTGTTGAAGCCACTTGAACCCGCTTCCCATTCACCTGTGGCAAGGACGCCAGAAAACTATTTAGAAGGCCAAGCAAACCCTAAAACTCCCTGCCCTGCAAAAACGTGTCCTGAAAAATAACACCAACCGTCCCGGGACCCACCAAGTCTCCGTTGTGTAAGACTTGCGGCCGCCAGCCCAGCATCACGTCAATCTTCTCGGGTTCCTTGCGATAGGCCGCGGGCAGCAAGACGAAGGTCACCACCATCGAGACCAACCACGACAAAGGGCCTCAGTGGATGAGGCACAGGTGGCCGAAAGCGAAGCTTTGAACACTTCCAAATCCTTTCTCCATGAAAACGTTCCTTTATGAGGCAAAAGTTGCCCAAGATACAGTAGATACCATGAGGTACCCATCTGGAGTCACCCTGAGTCTCTCTACATTGCACCTCTTGGAGTCACCCCATTTTTAGGGGTTTCGCGCGACACATCGGACTCCCAGGCCTGTGATTTGCCAAAGGACCACCGTGAGGCGCTGCAAGGCAGCAGGCACCTCCGGAGTTCCAGACGCGATGTTTGAAGAGAGAGGAGGTTTCAAACAACCCCGCCTCAGACGCGAGCTGCCCAGGGGTTTAAGTCCAAAAAGGTGACTTTATATCGAGAGTGTCACGCACCTGCAGCCCTTGCATCGCCAAAACAGCCACCAGAAGACTGGAGAGCCAATACCTGCCGAGCCAGGGAGCTGGGGCGAGCACAGCCAGCTTCTGGTAGCTGGCTGCAAAATGTTCAAGAAAAACGAACATCATAGCAGTACATGTAGCAGTATATACTGTATGGTTCTCAAATGTTTGTGCGTCCCAAAACACAGGTCGCGGCGTAGCGTTCTGTCGCCATGCTTCGTGTTGTCCCTACAAGTCGCGGCCAAAATGGCTTGACCGACCCAAGGATCCAGGGTCAAGTCCTGCGGTCCCACGGGTGAAACCCGATGTTCCCATGCAAAAAAGGCCGATTTGGGTGGACCTACTATGTTCAAACACATGTAACATCATGTAACTCATTTTCACACAAACACTTATCTTTCTGTTGAGTACCTTGAGAAACCCAACTGGACTCCAATTTCAGGCCACAGCACAATGCCAGCATGCAGTTGCACCAGAGGGTGAAGGTGATGAATCGGCCCAAATGACGGACATGCACCTGGCGGCGTTTCTGGTCCCACCGTAGGTCCGGTCGAATGTTTGGGTCAGCATCGATTCAGCGAGTTTTTCAAGGTCCAACGAGTAGCTAAAACTTGTGAAACTTCAGGATGTTCTATGTCTTCTTTTCTTTTCTTTTTCTTTTTCTTTAGACCTTTCCTTACTTTCTCCCTTTCTAATGACCTTCTTCCTTCAGCTTTCATTTCCCCATCTGCCTTATGTCCTCGGTGCTGGATGGCCAGCGGGGTGGTGTCCGCGTACGAGCAGTAGAGCGTCCGACACCACAGCGTCGCCCCGACACCACGGAGGAACCTGGCACCGACCGCGTCGGAGGAACCTCGCGCCGCGGCAGGTCGGCTTGAGACAGCCGACCGGCTGCCCATCACCAGCCGACCGGTGGTACTCGGATTCCCAGGTCATTGGAACTGGAAAGCTCCACCCACCGAAGCCATCCTTCATCTTCGGATTTCATGGTCATCCTTTCGAGGCCAGGCCATCCACTGTAAGCCCCAAGAAACTCTGAGGTTTACTACTCCCACTCAACCCCGACTGCTCTGCAAATCTCTGTTCCAGGCATCCAAGGGACAGCGAGCTCAGCTGCACTGGGCTTGCAGTCGCATCCAGAACCGAAACATTCAGCTCTGCCAAGGCTGCAACACACCAAGCGCCCACTGCTGCCACCAGGGCCTGGTTTCCGGCCGAGACAACACGAGGCGACCACCACGGAACACTGTGGAGCTTGTGCTCCTCGGAGGGTGTCATGTTTCTCATTCGGAACCTTCGAATTGGAAAAATAAAAAATATCTAAAAACAAAATGGTGAGGGTCTCTTTGAGAAGGCCTCTTCAAAGGAGGCCTCATGCACCACGATTTTTTTGTGCTTCACCAGATTGGACTTTGGTCTTGAGCCCGGTTTCAAAAGCATCTTGGGGAAGGATGTAAGAAGCGACTCCTGTCAAGGGCCTGGATTGTTTGAAAGACTCAACATGCAAGCGAAGCTAATCCTCTATTGTTGCATTACCTGCATCTGAAAACATGAATGATCTTAAAGTTACCCGGCTAGAATTCTTCAGTATCTCAATTAACCGGCCAAGCCAGCAGTCTTGGATCTGCAACCCCGAGCGCTTTCTTGTTACACACCAAGAATCCACACAAACCAGCACGGAGAACTGCACCATGACAGCAGAATTGAAGCGGAGCTGATCAAGCTTGGTGGGGGAGTTGACGCCAGCTGGGACCCAGATCGATTTGACGTAAATGCATCATTTGAACGTGAAGGCCAAAGCGGCCACCGCCTTTGGTGTGTTCACCACCTTTTTTTGCTGTGCTCACCAAGCCCATCATCTTTTCGAATGGCAAGGGGTTTATGGCAAGAGGTTTAGGAAGTAAAAAATGCGTAGAAAGTGACCTGATAAGGCCGGTGTTCACTCTTGCTGCTCCAACAACACCAGCACGACTTGAGGTTTGAACTGCTGCGCTGGACCACGGATGATGCTTCAAGGCAACCTGCTTCGGACTTGTTCCCTGGTATATAAGTGAATGCATTGCATTCCGGAATTCTGGTGTGTTCATGAAGTTCATCAAGCTTCACTTACTGGAATGTTGATCAGTCCAGCTGGCCCAGTCAACTTTATTCGGCTGGTTCCTGGTGAGATCTCGCCAGGCGGCCAAGCTGGCGTAAAGGGTGCTCTCTCGGCCAAACCACACAATCTCCCAATGTTTGTGCAACTGCTTCCACTGCTTCTCTCAACAAATCAGATTTGCAAAGAGATTCCCCGAAATCAGTCAAACCCCCAAGTGTCCAGACTAGTTGGCACATCCTTCCACTGCTACGCCCCTTACTACACTCATCTCAGGATGACCAGTGACGCACATGTTTGAAGCCCACGCCTTTAAAGCCACGGAAAGTGTTCTTAGCTAGTTACTAGGAACAAGGGCACTACTATACACTAGTAACAAGGGCATTACTACTAGTCACAAGAAGCTACGAACGTAACGAGAACACAAACCACGTGACATGACGCCCCGACCACGACGTGCCATGACAGTGCCCCGGCCACGCGTGACTCATCCACAGGGGGCTTCTCCAGGGGGTCAGACAGGCGGACCTCAGGTCTCCGGCCTTTTCCAGGCACCAAATCAGCCAGCAAAATCCACCGAAGGCTCCGAAAGCTCCAGTTGAAAGAGCTGGGTTGAACTCCAAAAGATTGCGCTTTTACCACACTGGTATCGTTCTTGGGAGTCGCAAATTGGAATGGTGATCGTTCGGAAACTGATGTTGTTCGGACACGCATGTGTTGCTTAATTGCTGGCTTAACGTAAGAGATGGCCACCGCATGTTGAAGGATATCGGTGGAGTTCTTGGCACAATCTGTTGAAAAAGAGCAGATATGTGCAGATACCTTTCCGTAGCCAGTGTGTCTCATCCAGGTCCCCATGCAGCTCGACGAAAGGTCCCACCCATCATCATCTCCCAAATGTTGATTGCCGCATCATGCACCTCTGAGGTCGAGGATATCTGACCAATGATGAAACTGGGTGATACGGAGTGAACTGAGGAGGGTTCGTCCAAAAGCGATTCAATTGAGGGAATCCAAAAAATATTCTGCAAGTGAGAACCCCCATCTCTTATAAGTAGTACTCTTTAATCAGGAACCCCTCAAAATCAACACCTCTTAACTGACTAACAATGTCTTTCCCAAAGCAGTTTCAAAACCAAGTGTGGTAAAGAAAGCACGAAAGCTGCTGAGAGTGGTTCGGAGGCCATAAAGCCACAAGAAATCCAGGGCAGTCGTCCATGCAAAAGGCCGAGCCTGCCAATATGCCTTCTCCTTCTCTGGAGAAGGATACAAGCGCTTGTACCTCGAAACAGCGTTCGGAATTCGGATGCGTTCCATGCTTCGAATGCTGTTTCATGCACACAAAGGCTTGTCACAAAGGCTTTTGCACAAAGGCTGTGGAAGCTTTTGCTTGTTGGAAGGCTCGTCGTCTCGTGGGATGATGGATGCGCCCCATGCGTACCCGCTGCAGCCGTTTTGAAGCTGTGCATCTTCCCAGTCGTTTCGGATCAAGGCGAACTCGCGCTCCTGCACGGCGGAAGTCCAGGGAATGGGTTGATTGGGGAGAAATGCACAGCAATTGAAGATTTTAACTGTGATTTTCTTGTAGATTTGGATTCTGGGGGATTAAGAAGATCAAGAAGATGAAAGCAATGCACCATGGACCATTGTATCGTGTTGAGAGGCCATGTCACCACTCAGAGTTGGCTCGCAGTCGGAAACCGAAAAAGACATTAGACCATGGCATGGCGCATGGCCGGACACTGACGACTGACACTCCTGAGCAATGCGATCTTCAATGCAGGGCTTCTTGCCCAAGGACTGAGCGGCCGCTTCGTTCGCATCCCAAAAAGAACACCGAAACGTGGTTTGGAGTTACAACCCATACTCCCCCAACCCCAAACTCAACAGAATCATCTGTGGGAGGGTGTTCACACAGCATGTCCTTGAGTAGCTTGTCCGGATGCCTATTGAGCAGCTTCAAAAATCCAAGTGATTGAACATGGTTTTGTGGTGTCTATCTGTCCGGCCAAAAGTTCCGTGGCGCAACAGATAGACACCACCAGTGTATGATCATGGCAATGTTCCGGTGTCTATCTATCGTTGGCGCCAAAACTCGGTCTCTATCTTTTGCTAACTAACTGGCGCATGTCTTTTGCAGGACTCGCGGAGACTTTGAGGCCAGGACTCGCTGCTCCATCCGTTCACGCGCCTCTGGACCCAAATGCACCGAACCGGGGGAAGCGAGAAAGGCTGTGGACATCAATCGAAGATCTCCAACAAATGGGTCCATGTTCTTACATAGACCCCTCCATAGAGGTCGGTTGTTTCAAAGGTTGCATGATCTTGATTACAAGCAAGTGAAGCAACTTGTTCAACAAAGCTCCCAACAATCAGTTCCTGCCTCCCGCTTCTTCTGGCGTCTTACTTCAGGATTCAAGTCCAGCAAGTTAAAGCTGTCTTGAAGGACCTGCAACGCAGTGATGCCGGAAGTAGACCTGTGACATCCATGTTTCGGGGGTATGTTTTTTCCGTTTTTTTCCGCTGCACGCTGCCACTCACCGGCTCGCTCCATGGGCTCCCCGCGTGGAACCGACTAAGGTGCTGGCACGACTGGGTCGAGCAAAACAGGGGCACTCAACAGGTGCACTGAGCACGGACTCTTGTAAACAGCTTGCTCGAACATACATTACATCCTGGACACTGGCTCTCTTCTAGGAGTCCGTGCTAAGGATGATGAAGTGACCACCTGCCCTGAAACTCAGCTGTTTAAGTGGGCAGCATGACATGACTCAACCAACAAGGAGCGCTTGTGCTGGATCTGGATGGGCGGTTCCTGGTTGCCGTCTGCCTGCGGCCAGAACAAGCCACGCCTCAAAGACATCCACAGCCGCACTGTGTACCTTTTCCCAGCCATGGAAACGATCTTCACCAGGCTTAGTGCACCCACTGCGTTGGGAAAAGCATGGTGAAGATCATGGAAAAGCATCTCATTCAAGCGGCGCCGACCACTAAGAAGGAAAGCCATGATCTGAGAGAGCATTGGATAGGGACTGGCCAGGGACTTGGGGTTCATGGCCAGGGACTTTGGTGAAAAATGCCTAAGCTATAGTGAAGCCTGCGCGGCATGCCACAGTCACTGGCACAAAGAATCGCCAACCCTCAGACAAAGGCCACGTGGGCCACGTGCCAAAAAGGAAACTGGAGGTCCAAAGTGCAGCAAGAAAGAGGCAATGGAGAGGTTGCTTTGCTAGCGCCAGATCCTTCAAACCCATCTCCGAAGACTCCGCGCAACATTGCGAAGACTCCATGGACATGTAGCCTTCAACACCTTTCTCAGAGAACCTTTCACCTGATTTGGATCTAAGATCTCTCTCTCTCTATCTCTCTATCTCTCTATCTCTCTATCTCTCTATCTCTCTCTCTCTCTCTCTCTTATGGTTTGGATTGTTGCGGAGCTTGCACAGTGGTTCTCTGGTCAAGTTTGAGGCATCCTAGCCAGCCATGTCCAAGCAAATTGCACAAGAAGCTTGGCCTCCTATTTGCAAGTCTCTTTCGAGTGAGATGGCTGACAAAACAAGTTCCTGACAAAAGGAATTGGAGCTCACGCAGGTCCATCCTTGGAGGGATCAGCCCCTGGCCTCATGTTTCACTTGGTGATCCAGCTCGGACTCCGTCGCGAAGGAGGGCGCATGGTTCACCTGGCAGACTCAACGGGTAACACTACAGTTCCACTGGGTGAGTGGTGTTGAATTTCCTTTCTCACCTTGTCTTGAATTTCGCACATGGCCTGAAACATCCTGCAACAAATGGAAATCAATCGACAAAATCAACATAATCAAAATAAATCTATGCAGACATTGCACAGTGACTAGATACGCATTACCTGCATCTTATTCATCTGGCAAGCAAGCTCACACAAAAAAGAAACAGTTCATCCAAGCTGGAAACTAGATCCTGCTCCGTTCCTAGTTTGGCAACAATTCTTTGAGCGGCCCTCATGTCCCCACGACCTCCAATAGCCACGGCTGCAGCTTCTGATCCAACATCACATCAAAGCCCAAGATCTGAAAAAAACACATCGCTTTCGAACAGCTTCAACTGCTGATGTCTTGCCCACAACCTTTATGTTTTCCTTCCTCAACCCCCTTCAATGATCTCAAGCGCGTCGTTCCGCGAGCGCGGCACGGCGAAGGGCGGCACGGAAGACACGCAGCTGACGGGCGTTGGGCGGTTCGCCCTGTGATCTTCGGTTTTGAGATTCTTTAAGAACTCCCAGCACGTCATGTCTCACAATGTCCGACATCACCGAGAATGTACTAGCCTTCATGAAGGTCTCAAACAAGGAGGGATTCTTGTTCCAAGCCTGGTCCGTACCAGTTTCTCCAAACAAAAATGATTCGTCCCCCGAACGCTTCACGGAAACTGCTCCCAGCACATGCTCTCAGCAACCTCAAAGCACATGCCATTGTACACGTCTTCTGGCCTCACATGCTGGGTGCAAGGTCCGGTCTTGGTGCAAGGTCCGCTGACCGCGGTCAGCGCACTGGTCGCACTTGGCAGGATGAATCCGGGCAGCGATCCAGTGTTCAAGAAAGGCTGCCAGGGCCCAACTTCCACTGCCACTCTTTCTGAAAACTCTGCTGAGTAGACCAAAACTGAGGGACTGGGAACTGAGGAACCTGGGAGTCCAACTGGCAGCTGTGGTAGAAGTGGGAGAGACTTGGCTGGACAGCGATGAGGGTCTTGACAATCAAGTCCTGGAAGAACAACGGTGCGTTCAAATCCAGAAGAACCATAGTGGGTCACCAACTGAAACCTTGAATGGCTCTACAATGTCTTTCACCCCAACGTCACAGGCTCAAAAAAGAGACGTGTTCAACAATCGATTGTATTTCCTCTTGGGCTATATCCTGCTCATGCGTCGTTTCAGCACACATTCTCTTTAGTCTGCTAAGCCTGGTGAAGGATGAGGTCAAACCAAGGATTCGTTTTCTCCCATCCACGTAGGGAGGGACCGCGGAGGGACGGTCGTCTTCTCATCCCGCATCCCGTCCGCGGGAGGGGAGCCCGTTTCGCAGGTCTCTGTCATGTTTCGCTCGGGATGGAGATCATCTCGGACTGATGGAGAACATCTGAAGCCAGCGGCAGATCTATGACGAAGGTCACCCCGGTCTGAAACAAGTCTGGAAGATCAAAGGGTCGAAACCATCTGAGGGGATTGAAATGGGCCAGCAAACACATTGTTGAGAAGCTTTGGTGTTTCAGCCAACCCGAGCTGGAGAATGTTCTGCAGCCCCACATGACCGGCGGTCCTCAATTTCCAAGATCAATGTGTCGACGTCGTGCCCTTCCTTCCGCAAGTGCTCTTGCACCGCCTGCAGGCCCGGCGGCTGGTTTGGGTTACTCTGGGAGAGTCATGTTCCCAGATACCACCACAAGGGTCTGGTGGGTTGCACAGACGTTTTTCTTGCAATGTGACTGCTGAGTCGAAACGTGGTGCGTCACAGTGCAGTCCTCTGGAATTGCTACACTCACTTTCAAGACCATGAAAAAGGACAGAAGAGCGCCTAAGTTCCATGTTTCGGAAGACCCCTGCAGGGAGTCTCAAAGAAAAAGACGGTCAAACCTCTCAACATTCCTGCCGCACCTGCAGGACGCCAACCCGTCATCAGTGGCTTCTCTGCACCCGAAAGAACCCAGCTTCGTGCGCCTCCCAGCTTCGCTTGTGCCCGTCTTCAGCATCATCAGGGTTGGTGTTCTCCTGATTCGCATCATCAAGACTCTTGAGTCACCCTGTTCCGAGGCATCACCATGAAAATCCCTAAACATCAATCGTTTGCAAACTTCAAATTCATCAAGCAGGCGTTCTGACTTGCAAACATCTGTCATTCTAGCTATAGGTTGGCAACCTACAGCCAAAGAAGGCATCACTTGCACTCCGATCTGTACAGAGAAATCATTCTTGCTGTAGGTGTGCAACCTACAGCCAAAGAAGCAGGCATCACCTGCATTCCAACCCTGGTAGTTCGCCAGTTTGCCAACTTAAAGCGAGTTAACCTCGATTTGCGCACATTAATTATGCTTAGCTCTAGGTTGCCAACCTACAGCCAATCAATCCAGCTTTGAGTTGACGGCGTTCAAACAAGCTATAGCTTGCCAACCTCCAGCCAATCAAGAAGGAATCAACTATATACACCATCCCAACCCCTCAACATCTGTAGCTTATCAATTTACAACCAATCAAATAGGCATTCTGACTTGCGAGCATCTGTTATTCCAGCTGTAGGTTGGCAATCTACAGCCAATGAAGCCGGCATCACTTGCA